CTTTGCACAGTCGTCATTTCATTGTCAAACCTTTCACGGCACCATAACTTTTTTAATAGGTTTTACAAAGGTTATACAACCCATACATAAAAAATTAAAAATATCCATAAAATATTTCAATGCAAACAAAAATATCAAACATGGCACAAAAACGCGTTTTAGAGACATATTCACAATTTTTTTGCAAATAAACCATCTTTCATAATACTTCCCAAAACATATCAAAATGCGCGTATTTAAATATTCTTTACGAATATATAAAGGTAATATGCCCACCCTTAAACATATTTTTGTTATCAACGCGGAAATTCGGCTGATTTCTCAAAATGTGGCAAGATTGGGCGTCGATATTTAAAAAACTCCATCTTTTATTTTCTTTAAACTCCCCTTGGCACTTTGAAGTGACTTAAACTAACCTGTGATGGCAAAAGATTGAGTAACATATGACCTCCAAGCGGGAAAAGCTACGACAAACCTTCACTCGGAGCGAGCCGACGTCTTCGTCATAGCGGCTTTGCCGCACAGCACCAAACGTTTGGGCGTTAGTTATGGCATGTATTTTATATTATTAAAATTCTTTTTTTCATAAGGGCTGAGTATTAGTGACGCGAAAATGGACTTTGAGCTGGAATACCATTAATTAGCTTACAATTCACAGGAACAAAACGGCCCCACTGTGCGAATTCGCTAACTATGCATAGATAAGCTTAAAACTCTCAGTTATGCGAGTGGCCATGTATACATCCGGCCTCTCGGCATATGATGACTTCCACAGATGAGAAGCCTGGATTCCTCTGACAGGTTTTATGGTGGTCCACTCTGCTTGCTTTACCGCACGAAACTCTCGAACCCGTTCCACAGACAGGTGGAACATGCAGACATTTGTTACTTTTTTACGTAGCACTTCCACAAAGTCTTTAGCGGTGGCAATTGTTGAGTTGAGCGAAGATCTCAACTTGGTGAGCGTTGGTTCTTCCACCTACTTCATCACAAGCGCTTTCTCCGTGTCCAGTGGCTGAAAAGATCCATCTTGCCGAAGAGTGCGGCTTCCGAGACAATTCGTGGAATTGGAAGCGATTCTTGAAATGCGCCGCCGCTCCGTCTGATACAAAAATTATTTCTAAAAAGACTGGGAAATGAACATTAACATACTCTTTTATGGCCTATGTGGCTAGAAGAGCGTGAGCTGTGTCATGTGTCGTGTACCATCGGTGACAACGGCAAAGCTTTGCGTGCCTTGCGTGGACGTAACCACACTTGTGGAGAGAGACACTTGAGTTTTTTTCAATGAAAACTCTGCACTTCGGTTGGAAAGAGTACTGTCCATTTTTCCGCAAAATCGAAGTGGAACATCACTGCCTTGGGTGGTAAGGCGGTTCTTGTGTCATGTATCAGGCTTCGTTCAAGGTCAAGGATGTAAGAATGCCTCATATACTTTTCGCTCTCCTATTGCCGCAGGAAGGCAGAAGTGTCCATAACCTTTTTGACGAGTTCGCCAGCGTCCCATAACGCGAAACAGATCTCTTCGTCTTCGTCGAGATGAAGCGACTGCAGCGAGATGCTCTGCGTTTTTGGGCACTTTTCGCAACGGCGCAGAGAGCAATCGTTCTGTGGAGCGCAGAAGAGGTAGATGCGCTTGAGGTCGTCTTCAGTAAATGCCTTCTTTGGGGCATTTGTTATTGCCGTTAAAAGCAACTGAAAATTGACGCAATATATGCATGCGCACACCTCGTGCTCGGGACTTTTTTTTTTACCCTTTTTGGTCGTAGGGAATAAAATTTGGAGATGCCTAGTTTGGGTTGGGGATGGTCCTTCCTAAACAGCTGGTAAGCTTCCTTAATAGAGCGGGTCATAAACCTTTTTACGACTTTGAACATGTCGTTGATCATGGCTTTGACGACGTCCTTTTTGTCGGGGCTTTGAACAGAGCATGCGAGGTCTTCGCGTGTGTAGTACTCAATTGCAACCCCCACGTCTTCGGCATTCGCCTTTTTCCCCATGTAGGGATCAGGGATTGCCCAAATACCACCTTTGCGCTTCAGTTTTCATGTTTGATCAATCATGTAGGCAGTCGCACCCGACACCAGACGCAATATTGTTTTCTTCAGGATGATTGGTGGCAGAAGCACGTACAATCGCTTGCGTTCCTGGTGGGAACTACATGCCTTCAGCACTTCGCAAAACGCGTCAAACCACTCTGCGCAGTGCTCACAACTGTCTTCGAGTTCGAGAGTTTCGTGCGGTGAAGCAAGCAAAGTGGACCACCGTAAAACCTGTCAAAGGAATCCAGGAAACTCATCTGTGAAAGTCATCATATGCCGAGAGGCCAGATGTATACATGGCCATTCGCGCAACTGAGAGTTTTAAGCTTATGTATGATGCATAGGTAGCGAATTTGCAGAGTGGGGCCGTTTTATTCCTGTGAATTGTAAGCTAATTAATGGTATTCCAGCTCAAAGTTCCTTTTGAGGTCACTAATACTCACCGCGTATAAAAAAAAAATTTGAATAATATAAAATACATGCCATAACTAACGCCCAAACGTTTGGTGCTGTGCGGCAAAGCCGCTATGACGAAGACGTCGGCTCGCTCCGAGTGAAGGTTTGTCGTAGCTTTTCCCGCTTGGAGGTCATATGTTACTCAATTTTTTGCCATCACAGATTAGTTCAAGTCACTGCAAAGTGCCAAGGGGAGTTTAAAGAAAATAAAAGATGGAGTTTTTTTAAATATCGACGCCCAATCTTGCCACATTTTGAGAAATCAGCCGAATTTCCGTGTTGATAACAAAAATATGTTTAAGGGTGGGCATATTATCTTTATATATTCGTAAAGAATATTTAAATACGCGCATTTTGATATGTTTTGTGAAGTATTATGAAAGATGGTTTATTTGCAACCAAATTGTGAATATGTCTCTAAAACGCGTTTTTATGCCATGTTTGATATTTTTGTTTGCATTGAAATATTCTATGGATATTTTTAATTTTTTATGTATGGGTTGTATAACCTTTGTAAAACCTATTAAAAAAGTTATGGTGCCGTGAAAGGTTCGATAAGGAAATGACGACTGTGCAAAGTAGCATTGTGAAATCTTCTCAATTTCCATGCCTCAAGCTTCTCTATTTTATATCTCAGCGAAAAAAATTGTTACGGCGTTCATATCTAGCTGAATGTTCCTCCCAAGAACATGGCTTTCATATATGTTTTTAACAAAAATATCTAAATTATGACCCGGACCATCATTGCATGAACTGACGTGGAATCACCCTACACTAATAAGCGACCAGCACTGACGAAAGGCAGAGTAACTAAAGGATACACGACGCGGCTTTCACTGAAGTGTTTATTACATACGCGACAGGTTCTGGAGTTTTACTTGCCTTTCTTCAACTTGATGATACGCTCGTTCCTCAGTTTCATTTCATAAAAAAAAAATATATATATATATATATATATATATATATATATATATATATATATATATATATATATATATATATATATATATATATATATATATATATATATATATATATATATATATATATATATATATATATATATATATATATATATATATATATATATATATATATATATATATATATATATATATATATATATATATATATATATATATATATATATATATGTATGTATATATATATATATACCGTGATAGGCGTTGTACTGGGGGAAAGCGCTGGATATTCTATTTTTATTATCCAGCTTTTTTTCATTTGGGTAGAAAACAGTGCACAAAGACTACCGGCGCTTCGATACTTCAACCCTAAAAGCGTTTGTTGGCACTTTATTTTATATATCACTTTTATTGCAATACACTGCCAGGGTTGGGGATCTCATTACATTTCTTGTGAAAAAGTAGCTGTTGATTTTTTAGGACAAACTGAACATCAGTTTTTGGTTCAAGGGGTCCTTGAATTTACAATATGCATCCGCCGCGCAACCATACCTGCAGTGGGGAAGCCTAATTGTCTGATAATCGCCAAGAAACTCATAACAAAAATTAGAGTCACAAAAACAAAATAGAGGAAAAGGTACCACACACAACAAAGGAAGTAGGAAGAATGGTAACTTGTAAGAATAGCAGGATAAGCTCCCCCACAATCCTGTTTTGCTCTGAAGCTGTGTCTCAAATGGAGACACACCTTGAAGGAAAAGTAGGGTGCAATTTGGGCCGACGGATTCTTTCAAGCATGGCTAGTCGTCGTTTACCTCCAGTACCTGTGGGTCACTGGGGGCGACAATATGTTTTATATGCATTCGAGATGGTATCCGTGAATATATAAGAAAGCTTCATCTAAGGGGACGTGCATAAACCGGTATGAACTTGAGGAATACACGGCCTGCCATTTGCACTCACCACGAACTGCACCCTCCGCACCTACTAGTCTTCGGGAAGAAAGAATGAATTTATGAATCTGTGCCTGTATTCCGAAATAATGTTTTTGATTTTTTTGCGGAAGTATCTCAGTGATATCCAGTTTTATAAAAAAAAAGTATACCAGTTTCTGTATCTTGGCTCCGAAATGCATATGTCTTACTGTTCATATACCGGAATACTTTTTGGAGTCTCTGTGCGGAGTCCTAATTTCTGATAACTTAGTTTACGGTGTGTGTGCGTGTTGCGACGCCCTTCTTTTACGTGCGCTCATTTTGGCACCGCTAGCAGCGGGACCTGCTGGAAGCGGGCCGCGGGCTGCAGTTTGAAGTACGGGTATCATTGGAAGGACCGCGGCCTGCCACGGGCCTGTCGGAAGACCTCGACGGGCCGGGGCTTGGAGATCCTTGCCATAGAACCACGACCTGCGCCGTCCTTCCTACCCGTTGCGTCGGAAACAATGATGACGATGGTTAAAAAAGTGCCTCCTGTCAAAGCCCGTTAGTGCAAGGTTCACTGGTTGGAGCATAGTCCCTCAAAGATTACGTCGCTTTTTCTGCAGTGTTTACAAGTCGTGCAAGAGGAAGGCGGCATTCTTTAAAGATTTGGGTGTACCGGGACCAACACCTCACCCCATCTATGGAAATCTGCTTGAAATCCTGGAAATGGTACCTCATTTTTCAGTAAATTCATTGGCACCTTTGCTTGGTGGGCTGCAATTAAGAAACTTTTCGAACTCACGCAGCCGATGTCTCTACAAATATATTTTATATAACAAAAAAAAAAAACCCGAAAACAAGACTGTCACCCCATTCCACATAAGAAAAGCTCAAAAGAATCTGCAAAAACACACACACACAAAGACTTTTTTAGCGCCTCATTGTGTTCAGGGGCAGATTCCTGTAAACATAAAGGCTCTTTGTTGTCAAAGGTACATCTTAGGCGAGTCGGCTGAACATGTTACCGACTTCACAGCTCACGATTAGCACACACACAAAACACCACATATACACCGCGCTGTATATGTTGTGTTTTTTCGTTGTTAACTGTACACCTCAGTCTCATATACGTAACAGGATAACTAGTGGCCCAATATTGGACACTTCGGTTCCTCGGTTGCTGGAGCTAGTCTTTGTCAGCTCCATAATAAATAACAGAGATGCATTTTTGCTTACATGGGCTAGCTTTTATTTTAACAATGACCACCGACCTTCATCACCAAAGTCCTTTAATGCATCGAATGCAGTATTTCAGGAGTGACCGTCGGAATTCGTTTAGAAGAAATTAAAGAGTCGTATCCCGGAGTGGACGACGCCGTTTGCTAGCTCACTACGAAATTTATTAGAAAAATTGACATCACGTACGTAACCGGACGTCTCGCAAAATTGATCAGACTATGTCACTTAAACTTTTCCCGCTAAATTTATTGGGGAATTGCACGTAACATGACGTTACGTCACTGGCTCAAATAATGACGTCACGTGACGTTAGTTCAGGCGACGGCAATATTAGCACTAACTTTAGCTGGAAAATTTCAATTGTCATGAAGTCACCGCGATATTAGGTCACATGATGTCGATTTCCCCATAAAATTTGACGTCACGCGACGTGGTCTTGTCTATTGTGGTGTTACATCACTTCATTAACGTCACGTGGCCTTAATTATTCCGCTAAATGTAACGGGAAATTGCACGAATGTACATAATTTTGAGATTAAGGCTTTGATTTAAAAAGCATTCTTTGCTATAAAAATGCAAACAAAATATTTTGGAGTACTTTTTCAACTTTTGCACCGTCGTCCGAGTCACGTGCTCAATAGCGAGCTGAAGGAAACGAGTTTCCAGTTGCGTGAACTTTCGGATGCTCCTCTGGTTATCCAGCAGTCAGGAGGTTTTCAAGCTGCGATTGGATCGCTTCTAAAACCACAACCAGATATCGGTGATGTTCGTGGCCTGTTGCTACCATCAGACACTGCACGGGGAAACACAAGTGTAAACAACCGTCGTCGACGTGTCCAAATGCATAAAAACGGAAGAAAAAAATTAAGAAAAAAACCGCGGTTTGTTTAGGATACGATTCTGGGTCCTCCGATTTTAACGCGACAGTACTACAAAAGAGGCACCCAAGCTGCTTCAACCCGACGTCTAACAAGGCGTATCTGCTAGGGACGACTTCACATATCTGTCTCGCGCAGCCCTCGCTAGATGGCCCCAGTTGCGGTGACGTTACATCATGCCACTTTAGTTTCATGCGGCGTCGGTTAGAGGGCTTCTGCGCGCATAAAGTATAGTAGTGTGGCAATATCCCAGCAGATATCTACGATGGTTCTTCCACGTAGACCGCCGCCCGCGGCAGATGAAGCAGAGCGCATCTCCACAAGGCCATCATGTGCAGGTTTGCTCCATGATACATAAGCATGCATTAGGGTTCAATAAGGTCTTGCAGGTATCACTGTGACTGTACTCTGAGTTCATACATGACTGATGATTTTTGGTTTGGTTCGACGGATTGACTTCGGGCAGATGGCGCTACGGACCCTGCTCCTGATAAATCTTGGCGACTACAAAGCGGCTTTAAACATATTTATTCCAGATTAGATTTCAAGATTGTTTGAAGACTCCATTAAAAATGTGCAGGTAATTGTGCACCGCGGTAATGCACTAGAATATCGCCTTTAACGACGTCATGCCGTGTTTGATGAAGCCGTCATGACTGGAGGTCGAAAACTATACCGTGATTTGCTTTGCCATTACGCACTGTTTGCTTTGCCATTACACATTTTTTTCAAAGGTTAAACTCCTTTCGTTGTCTATTTGAACTCGGTGCTGCTCAAATGACACGTTATTGTGATGCCTCCTCTGATTCCGTATCCCTGAAAAGTTATGTTTCTATTTTCCAGGGCAGTTTGGAAGCAACAGAAAAATGGGCCACCAAATATGGCGATATCGCTGGGTAATTTGAGTTGCCTGTCTCTCTTGTGACCTTCACCTCTAGAAGAAGTCTACGCCATATAAAAATAACTAACCCGAATGTTCTTTAACATGTATATACATACATACATATATATATATATATATATATACATACATACATACATATATATATATATATATATATATATATATATATATATATATATATATATATATATATATATATATATATATATATCAGCGTTTCAGCCAGGCTATTAATTTAGAGTAACATGTGAAGAAAGGTAAAAAAACGTAGACGAGCTGGTGAATGACATTCATAGTGAACCTGAGACGTAGGAACAATAAAATAAAGCTTCGTTGTTCTGTCCATATTTTTTTTTATTGTTCCTACGTCTCAGGCTCACTGTAGATGAACATATTTTATTTTGTTTGCCGAAACTTCTCTTTGTATACATCGTGAAGTAAATGTCTGGTCTTTGCTAAAAAAAGAACGAAGAATAAGTTTTTCAAGACAAAGTTATAAAAAACGTTAACTGGTTTAGGTGACACATCATTCAAAACAGAAACAAAAGTGTTCCTTTTTCGCAACTTAAACTGTGTGCAACCTTGCTGTCAGGTGTAGCAGACAGACATCGTTGACCTTCCTCACCTAAAAATTTCAATGTGCTTCCATCCAAAAAAAAAAAAAAAAGAGCGTGGAAAGCCATGTTCTTCTGTCCTATTTTTTACTTTGCTCCAACCGGAAACTATTCAGATATTCAGATGTTCTATTCAGATGTCTGACCGCACATTGGGAAGCAGTGGTTAACGAAAGTGCCGGTTTTATGGTATGGTGGGGTCCCCAATGAATCTCTGTGATATAAAAGGAGCGGGAAAAATCAGTGCAGGGACGTTAGGGCGCCCATACTTTCACCCCATGGACATCGATGTGGTGGATTCCCGTTGATGAAATATCAAAGCATAGCTTCCTTCTCTTGAATAAAAACACAAAAAAAAAAACTTGCCAATGTCAATGACACACGGGTCCATAGACGACCGAGTTATTGACACTTGTAACGCGTCCAACCATTTCCCTAAGGGTGCAAACTGCAGACGCCGTGTCGTCTTTTCGCCTTTTGCGAGATAGCTCCAAGCGTCACAAGTATCGCTAACTCTGTCGTCCGCCGTTCACGTTGACGACGTTTGTGGTGTAATTTTTCACAGGAAGAGAGCTGTGCCTTAACATTTCATCCACAAGAATCCACCACATCAATATACATTCGGTAAACGTTTGGGCTTGCTATATGTACAGGCGTTACTGTTTCCGGTTTGTTGGAGAGCGCAGAGGCACCTTGGGGACATCCTGTCGGATAACTAAAATGCCTGGTAACACACAAATGCCGAAAGATAATTTTGACGAAAGCGCTTGCTGACATATTCGGTACAACATTCCCCCACTAACAATCACTGTAATAATGTAGCAAATTATTCTCGTTGGGAAATGTTAAAGGAAATAACAATAATCCACTACTATGATACACAGAAAAGTATTCTAATGACCCATTGCATTTTGCAATCACATCTTTATATTTTCTTTCAGATTCTTTGATGGCTTCAGACCCGTGATGATCATACGTGACCCCGAATTGCTCAGGCAAATATTTATCAGAAACTTCGAGAACTTCTCGGCAAGACAGGTGTGAAATTCATCTTATAATAGGCACATTTATTTGGCTATCGCGGAGGTTGCACGATAAGACGTCGAATTTTCATGAGAAGACGCACTGTGAAGCTACACTGGCTATTACTATTTGAAGTGATATTGCTCGCTAAATCCGAATTCACAGCAGTTGAACACATTGTTAAGGCACATCAAATAAACAGTATAAGGGCTGCCTATAACGGCAGCTCCTATATTTTCTTGAATTAAAATTATTTCGGTAGATAAAGATAAAATTTGCCCATGAATCATTTATATTGAAGTAATCCGATATTTGGTGCTTTAGACGGAACTTTTACTGTACGAAAAATATCCTAGCTTGTTGAAGGTTAAAGAATAACTGCAAAGAAAAAATGTTTTTTTTTCTTTAAACAGCCTAATTTAGAGAGGCATGACAAAAAAATGCTTCCACCAGAAAAACAAAATTTAATATTTATTGCGTGAGACTAATTTTAGTTTGCGGCTATTTCGTCCGTTTGAAATCGCGCGCCACAAAGTTTGTGTTCCGTGACGTTTTTCACCGATTGGCTGCTATACTTCTCATTGGCAAAGAGATTGATTGACAGCTCAGATGTTGGTTGTTAAACCTTTGTTATATGTTGCAATTTCCTTTTGAGTGGCATATTTTTACGTTTAAAGAATAACCCACGCGATGAGAGTTATTATTCTTTGCAAAAGGTTTACAAGGCGGGCACTTCCGTTTGGATTCATACCCTAACAAACAAAAGCTTCGCCATTCTTTCATGGCCGCCGAAGTCTATGCTCCCACCTGTCTCGCATAGCTCGACTAGTCATCTCGCCGAAGTGATCAGTGCTTCGTGTTGACCCAGGTGACTTCCTGAAGTGAAGTACGTGTGGTTAGCAGCTGTCGCAGGTGTCAGGGGTGACAGGAAGCGACGAGGGGTTTCGGCTGTCATAGCGCGGTTCTTTTGTTTTCCTCCTTGCTTGCTTAGCGTGCTTTTTTTTTTTTTTTTTTTTTTTTTTGCGCGTGCAATTGCTGACTTTTCGGAGATGTCAGTTGAGTGATCCCGACAGCGAGCCTTCCTGGCACAGCTTACGTAGTAGCTGTCCGCCGAAGCCTTCGAACGTCCGTATTCTGCGTTGGCCGACAGATGTTTTTTTTCTCGGCTTCCGAACCACCTTACGTAAAGTTGTTTGAATGAATGTGTGCTGTTATAGTAGATCTTGGCTTGTGAATGCGGCTTTGTACATTATGTTATTCGTTTTGCTGGAGAGACGCAAACGACGGGCATAACAAAATCGGCCGCATATTCCGCACACTTTGCAAAAGCACTTCCCCAGTCAGCTTGCGAAAAGCGCGAAACACGGAGTCCGCACCGTCCCGACTTCCCAGTCTTTTACCTGCTTTAGAGCAGTTTGTACCTGGTAGTAGGTATGTCTACTGAAACTGCAACTTGAAACTAGGGGCAGTGCCGGAGAGCCAAGAGACAAAGTTCGGAAAACTTGCTCGCCCTCCCCAATATCTGAACTCTCAAGTGATTGTACCGTAATAAATGCACAACGCCTCTTCCCAAAATAAAAAGGAAGTGTCTAGAGTTCCGTCCAGACGGAACGATAGTCGCCACTAAAGTTCCGTCCATGTTGGGTCTCGTATAAAAGAAATGGTGAAAGCTAGTTTCTGAAGTGGTGGTGTAGTGTAGTGGAAAGGTGTCTGCTTTACACGCAGCGGGCCCGGGTTCGAACCGCAGTGTGGGGTTACTTTTTTTTCTCTCAATTTTTTTGTTGGTATTTACATTTCTTTTTTACAATTATCACTGAAACATATTAACCCATGTTGTCGACGAAACTTTGCTTCCTTTCCGGAAGTGCAAGGGGGCATAGCGGGTTTGGGTTGCTGTCTGGACTCCGCGAAGCGGCGTGTACGGAGGGCTAAGTGGTTTAATAGGTTTGTAATTAGCAGCCGCATACTGTCGCCGCGAAGCGGCGTGAACGCAGGCGGGGGGGTGTGTTAACGAGCTCCCCAGTGATACACGCGAAGTCCGAAAAGAGTGACCCAAATGGCACGAGCTCTCCGCGTTCCAGACGGAACTCTAGTGGCGACTATCGTTCCGTCTGGACGGAACGCTAGCCACACCGAAATAAAAAAGCACTATGCTCACTACTTAAAAAATGGTCTCAGTTCATGCATCTGTGGGCAGGTAGAAAATCTTGCCCAAATTTATTCATACCGCACGATGAGCGCAACACGTCGCTGTGCAAACGCAATCCAACAACACGAAGCATAAAAACGGCAGATTTAGGACAAGGATTCGGAGTCCATTGTTCAATTAAAACATTATTTTGCTGAAAACGCCCGCAGCTTTTTACTCACGGTATGCGTCAGGAATCTTCCATATTTTGAAACGGAACGAAGGAAGATTTACTTTTAAAGACGCTCGCTGCGTCCTTCCGGACCAGTTTTAATGGATCGGCTGACGACGACGGGACTAGTGAACCCGCCGAACCTCAACCCCACCACAACCAGTTTGCGCTCCGTGTTAGTGTGGGTGTCTACTTCCAAGCACCGCACCACATACACCACGAACGTTTCAGTTCTTCGTTGCATCGCCGTGTTGCACCGAACAGAACCAGATCGCCGAAGACAACGCAGCGGTTTCGTGAAGGATGGCTTGTGGTTGCGCACTCGTTGACCCTGGGACTCCGTTCGGTTTCAAAGCACACACGAAGATTACGAATGATACTTTCCGTCTTCCGGGAACATCACAGGGGCACTTCTCCGGTCACGCCTTCGCTATGTGCTCGCAAACCGCGCAGCTTCTCGCGTCCCGTCAAACCAAAACAATACTGGCGCTATGTTTAACGTGCGTTGTTGCCGCATCTTACCGGAAGTCATTACGCTGCGTCGTTCAACTCCGTAGCCGAGTCAACCCAAGAGCAAATCCACGAGTGAGGGGCGGGGCGTACTTTTCCTCCGCGGGGGTCGAAAGAGCGGGAGTTTCAAATGTGGAGAGGTTCTGACACCTACTAAATTACGTCCTGTGGCGTAAATATTGCTAAAACAAATTTGTTTTTTCGCGGAAGATTTGTTTTGTGTCATGCTTGTTCCAGTTAGACTGCTTAAAAATACTTTTTTTGTTTGAAGTTTCCTTTTAAAGGGGCCCTGTAATGTCTTTTTTGCTGATTTTTAATTTGCACCGAACCTGAGCGCACTAAACGCAGTAACTTAATGAAAAAATTTTTCTCGAACTTCGCTTTATTTTAAAAGTTATAGGCAAATTAAAATTACAAAAACAAGCAAAAAATAACCTCCTTCATGACGTCCTTGGTCGCTTGAGGGGCCGTGAACTAGAGGAGGGGTAGTGAGCTCAGCGAGCGCTCACGGCTGCCGCACTCCGTGTCGACGGCGCGAGAGGGCGCCACTAAAGCTTGTGCTGGATAGGCTGTATGAAGCGGGGAGCCAGGGCGGTTTGCATTGCATTTGCTGCGCGATCAAACAATATTTCGGCATGACACTTCATTGACCACAAACGACAGCAGACACGGGGTAAAGATCAGTTCACACCGGGAGCCACTTTGCGCTGCCATACCGCGAAACGGCCAAACAGCAAGCCAAACCTGCGTCGAAGGCCTTCGGAACGCTCGGAACCGGTCGGATCCTCGAGTCTGCAAACGACTGCAGCGCCGCCGCGTACATCCGGGACCTTTCTACGCTCGCCGCTCGTCGGAGCCTGATCCCACTATTCGTTTCTAGTATGCGCCTCCTTTTTTACCGCATGGTGGCGGGTATGTCGACGGGTCATTTCTGGTTTCCGAACTTTCTAAGCTGCATTTTTTTTTTCTGGTCTAAAATACTGAACAAAAACTACTGTCATGAAGAATTGAAACGGTTCGCGCTACTTATATTTTGTATTTTGACTAAAACGAAGCTTTTAGCGGCTCTGACCAGTAGTAAGTTCAGGACCAAAGACGTCACATTTCGCGCGCTTTCGGTACCACGGGTCGCCCCCGTAGGTGGAGGAGGTTTCCGTGTCGTCCGGTTAAAATATGACTTACTGATATTTAGTTACTCTCTCCGTGCCCGCTGGCTTGCCAGAACCCCAAGAGACGTGGAAACCGCAAAAAAAAAGGTAGACGCTTAAATATGATTGCAGGGCCCCTTTAAGGAGAGCACGACAAGCTCCACTCTCAAAGCCTCTCTTCCTTTCCACCTTAGCAGAAGAAAAAAAAAACGATAGAGAGGAGGAAACAACCACTTATTGATTACAGAGTGCGTTGGGGGAGGGGATTCTTCCTCCTTTTTGTGCTGCTACATGCTCTTTTATACACCTGCACATGGCCCTGACGTACCACCGCTGTAATGGCGCTGTTTTCGGCATGGAGCAAGCGCAGCCGTTTTACTGGGGCAAACGCTGATTTATTTCTAAGCAGTGTGTAGGCCTATACGGAGCGCAAGTTCGTCTGCTTCTTGTCCAGGGGTTGGGTTGAAGTCTAAACGCCGAGTTCGTATTGGCTTTGGTTGGAAGGACAGTGTGTGTAGACCCCAATGCCAGCTACCTTCAGGTCTACTCACTATCCCTAATTCCAATCGAGCCAATCAACGCTCGGCGTTTGGACGTCACCGCAACCCCTGTAAAAGAAGCGGACGAACTTGCACTCAGCATAGAAATGGTTTCCCAGGCTTACAAGTTTATGCTGTGGTATACATCTAAAACTAAGGGAAACGCGATATGCATATCTATAGCTTTCTACAAGTTCTTAGCGTGGATATGATTGAGCATGAGCCCACGACAAAACGAAGCAAATTTAAGAAGCACCGGAACTCAGGCGATTTGCTATGGTTAATGAACTTGGTAACTCTGACAAACTTCGAGTCCAATTGCTGCTCGCCTACAGATTGCCATGATTTTATGGAGCGCGACTGTGCCCATCAAAAAGTATATTACACATTTGCTTCATTCTACTGAAGTCCCATTTTACAGCGGCAGCTGTTAGTGCCTTTCCCGGTGAAATCCAACAGCGTCCGTATGAAAAACGCAGGTGGCCTCGGAGCACGCGCCGCCCCGTCGCCGCCGCACTATCGCTCCCTCCTCACCACCGTCGCCCCTCGAACAATCACGTAATCTATGACAAGACGCGATTTCGCTCCCTTTGTCGTCATTCTCTCTGCTTGTTACCGACAGAGCAGCATCTCCGAAATCGCTGCCGCTGCCACTTCGGGTCGCTGATAGGTTCCCCGGCGGGTCTACAAAACATTCCCTACAAGCCTTTCAACCAAAAAGCACGTCTCAGTTTGTCGCCAAGAGCGCATGTTCCCAAACACAGATTTCATACAAACAAACACATCACGTAAAAGCGCATCTCGTAAACTCCACGACATGAAAGTGCATCCCCTAAAAAAAAAAACATTACCCAAAATCACATCTCCTACAACCATTCTTCCAAAAGCAAAGCTCCCGAAGCAAATATCCTAAACCAGATCTTTCAGGAACATAACAGTTGCCGCTGCCGAGCGCACCAAATTTTGTGTGGTGGTTTGCAATTCTAGCGTAACCCTAGATAAATTATAATGCATTTCTATTTGTTGCTTTCTGGTCCGCATAATCCTGCCAATGCAAAAGCCGAAAACAATAATCACTACGAATTATTCGAAACGAAACCACTCTAACGTAATATAATCTTTAAAAAAAATCAAAAACGCCCGTCGGAACTCACGAGTTCTGTTCCTTGACCGAAGTTGCTGAGGCCTTTTTTTGTTACGTATTTCTTCTATGACACACAGTATTAATGTCTGCAAATTGAATCTTAAACGTGCCGCTTGTTGACGAATGCCGCCACTCTCGTGGCTGCAATGATTGCAGATATGCATTGGTAGTGTTTCAATCCATAAAGGTCAAGAATGAAGTCTTTGCAACGCTGCAATAGTCGAAACCTTGTTCACCCATTGTAGAAAACACTCAGGGTGTTCGCTGTACACATGATGAGAGGATTATCTGCGGATACGTGTCAAACATCTTCGAAGCATGTGTTTGCTTTATACATATGTGCGCTTCAAAGATGTCTCGAGGCAGTTTATGTGTGACCGATTTGACCGTCATCAAAGGAAGGCCTCACAAAGTGTTTGCAGTCTGTCTTTTGTATGGGTCTGACCGCGCTTGACCGCCGCTGAATGAGTATTTCCTAAGCTTATGTATTTGTGTTTCTCTAGACGACTGTACACCATATCATAAGTAGGACAAAATCATATAACAGTATGTGTACAGCACATCGAGATACATTTACAATGGGTAAAATACAAAGAAAAAACATCAGTGAAGGCGCCTAGCGATGGCATTAAGGTTTCAGTGCTCACAAAAGATGGCGCTCACCTATACCCCCCTTCATCTGCAGCAATACGTCGAGATGTCCAGTGGCATTCCAGTCAACGACGAGAAACTCTCGAGGCTTTACGGTCGCAGATGGCGGGAATTGAGGACGCTCATATCGCCGGCCTTCAACTCAAGCAAGCTGAAGCGGGTACGTGGACACGGTAGCCGAGAACGCTGCCTGGGACCCGTCTCCGTCTGGTGTGTTTAGCGTCCAATATCACGCACATACTGCGAAAGTATAGTTTCCAACTGGCAACAAATGGCGCCACAGAAGCCGGCGTGTCATGTTGTCGCATGTCGCGATCCTGGCGATGGGTGCTGGAACTTCCGACAAAGAGTAGGAGGGAGCTCGAGTGTCGCTGTCGTCGCGGAGTCTCAACTCCTGGTTGCCGAAGTTTCCGTGGACTGTCATGCTGGAGAGCGACTTGCAGCGGAGCAGTCGGCTGCCACATCCGGAATCGCTACCCTGACACAGCCATGAGAGCGGCCGGCGTCAATATGACACTTCTAATGAATGGGACACTTTTTAGGACGCAGTAAACACACCAGTCGGAAACGGGTTCCAGGCACCTACAGCAAACGTCATGGCCTGTATTTTGGCAGGAAATAGGGCCAATATGCTTGCTAAATGTCGACAACAACGTTTTGAAAAATCCGCGTGCGAAAAGATAATTTTCCCACGATGCATCCTCTCCAAGGCCACTCCATCGAGTATCGTATTTTACCGGACTATATATAGCCCGCGAACTACGCATGTTTAAGAGTTTAAACTGTACCCTGTACTGGAAATGCACAGGTAACGAGCGCACATGGATTGGGTTTTTTCAAGATAGTTCGTAATGTTCAGACGTGATATATTTTGCCAACTTGACTTAAAATCAATCAATCGAAGTCAATCAAAGTTTATTCGGACACAAATACAAAATACAAAGGTCCTTGAGGTGCGGCTAAGGGACCCCAACGTATCTCTTGACGAGGCCATCACTTCGAGTTTGCACATCATACAGCAAAACATAAGCAAAAATATATACAATGTATTTCTGTATTCTCCTAGCACAAGCACAATGCAACGGCAGCCAACAGCTCAATTAATAACAATAACGAGGAAATTAAAACACATACGATAAGGCTTTTTAACGTCACAAACCGAAAAAGGGATGATGATTGTCGAGTTACTCTTGAAATATTCAAATTGATTTTATTAGGTATAGCTAAGAGTAGACAAAAGAAGGAATTTTAATGTCTTTTTTAATTAATACATTGTTACTCTTGCTTGAGTACATTCAATTCCGGAAGGATGCATTTTTCATAAGGCTGATTATCAATAGTTTGAGTACCATAGTTTGTTTGGGACTTGGACCCCACCAAGGTTTTGCTGTGTGTATGTTTTATGCTGTTTCTTGATAGTGTGTGTTTGCAAACTAGGTCAAGTCGTGTTTAAATATGTAATATGTTAAAGTAGTTTGGTAGAAACTATACAGCTCAGCAAATCTTATATACGCAATTGTTAGCAACAGCTTCACGAATAAATATTGTTTGTAGGGCCCTTTTTTGAAGCAACAGAAGTCGATCTCAATCAGTCTTATTGCACGTACTATCGCGGACAATATGAGCTGAAACAGCGCTCCGGCGTGCGCACGGAACTACCTGCGCCGCCTATCGCCTTGCTCCGCACACATGGCGCACCCTGAGTCCGAGATGAATTCTCACTTGCGCTCGCTCCGCCACTGCGCTCTTCGGGCGGTCTGCAAGCGAGACGGCGGGTGCGACAGCGGGCATGTGTGTAGTAGGGCGGCAAGGGCGAACAAAAGATTACACTTGTCGTCCAAAATATTGAAGTGTCTCAAATTTCAGCTGCGATTATCGTTTTTGAAGGTCACACAAAAGGATGTTGCAGGTGGCTTTTGTTTGATGATAGGGGCATGCGCAAAGTAGGACATCGTAAAATATAGGCCAAAATCTGTGTGCAAGATTTAGTCCGGCTCCAAGGTTTTTTGTTTTTTTTCTTTTTCATTAATCAGATATGTTCAGAAAAACGGTAAGCATACATGTTACTGAAAAGGTTTTGTAACCTTGATTGGTATGAAAAAGTTCAAAAATATTATTTCTTGACTACATTGCCCATGTGTTTGTTTCAAATAAAACATGTTGGTGACAAGACACCAGTTTTTTCTTTTTTTTTTACAAATTCCTAGTTTTAATAAGGTGGGAAAAACAGTCATATATTTGTCAGGAGAAGGAGGTTGAAACTTGATGGAAAGAATATTGGCAGAGGACAATGTCAGACACAAAATATTAATAGTCGGCGCGGAAGTTGAACTGCACTATACAAGATGATCGCGATAAAGGAGCACCCCACAAAAGTATGCGAGGTTAAAGTCGTCAAACAAAGTGTCGCAACCGTAGCATCAAGCTTGGTTTCAATCGGCAGAAGTCCGGTTCAGGGGGTCCTGAGGTGCCGTAAAACTTGCAAAATAATTTAATACCGCGTCATTCTCCCCTGACCCGCGACCACGGCTCTCCTACTGTCTGTTAAGAAGTCATAGAACGCGGCCACGAAATCTGGCCCAGTCCGAAGCCACTCCCATTCACCTCTGATTGCTTTTCACGATTTGTGGGTGGTGGCGCAGTGGAGGGTACGCCGTGACATGGCTAACTTGATGCGCTTCCAAATGTTTTCGATGATATTCAGATTGGCTCCTTTTGGGGGCCAAGGCAGCTTCGTCAGGCAGCGCTCCTCGAGGACATACGAGCGTGACAGCGCATTTTTCACATCGGCGTCTTCTTGAAATGCGCTGAAATGCATGTCAGCTGAAAACCTGATGGTGGTTCCGTTGGCCAATATTTTCGCTAGCAGACGGCCGGAAGAGCGCAGCGGCGCAGTGAGCGCAAGTGAGAATTTATCTCGGCCTCAGGGTGTGCCGTGGTTATGGAGCGATGCGACAGGCGGCGCAGGTAGTACCGTGCACAGGCCGGAGCGCCGTTTCAGGTCATATTGTCCGCGATTGTACCCCTGATAAGATGACAATACACAAGGTGGGAGTAAACTAAGAAGAAGTATAGTTGCTTTTTTACACTCAGTTGTAGAAGGCATTTTAATCGGTATATTAATGGAATAGATCTCGCTATTTTTATTCGTACATTGTTAATGTAATCAGTCCAACTTCAATCAGTTTTAAAGGCAACTCCTAAGAATTTACATGCGTTTGTTTGCGTAATTTCACAACTGTTGATGGGCAACGTTATATCATAACGCAAAGGCTTATTGTTTGGACGAAAAATGATAAATTGTGTTTTCTTAACATTTATGTAAATTTTGTTTGTGTTAAGACAAGTATGTATAGCTCACTGAGCCATACATTTAAACGCCCTTCAAGAGAAACAACATCTGTACCTGAAAGAAAACAGGTTAGTATCATCAGCGTATAAAATTATATCAGGGGTTAATGGGATGCTAACCGCATCATTTTTGTACAGGATGAAAAGTAAGGGACCGAGAATGGACCGCTCTGGAACGCCATATTTTATTACACCTATCAAGGATTGAACTTCCTACAAAATTACATTCTTCTCCACGAATGCCACATATGCCTATTTTTTTATCAAAATGTTGTGCCTAATAGAATCGAATGCTTTACGGAAGTCGAGAAAAATCCCGACAGCAAAGAGTTCTTCTTTAATGTTATGAAGTATACGCTTTTTAAGGTGTAATAATGGTGTTTCAGCGAATTTACCTGTTCGAAATGCATAGATCTGTTTACTAATTACTTTTCCAGCTTCTATAAAGTTTCATATTCTTTCATAAATAATACGCTCCGCGATTTTAGAAAAAAAGCGGCAGTATAGAAATTGGCGGATTGTTGCCTAGGTCATTCTTGTTTCCACCTTTACAAAATATGGTAACAAGTGCGATTGTCATTTAATTGGGAAAAATGCCAGTGGTCAGCATTCGGTTTCAAGCATAAACGAGAGGCGAGGTGACAAATGCGATAGCAGTCTTAATCGTAAGAGTGCTGATATCGTCGTCGCCGGGCAAGCACGTATTTTTTAATGCGTTTACAATGGATATAATTTCTTTTTCTAAGGTGGGCGTTACAAAGAATCATTGTAAGTAGGTAAAATGTATGAGCTAGCAGATTTTGAAGTTTGCTTTGTGCTTGTGCTTTTGGACGCACCTGCTTCCAAGAAATGCTCGTTAAATTGGTTCGCAAGTGATGCGCTGAAGAAAACGGTTCCTCAGGTGAGCACTATACGATGTTTTTTGTGTTTTTTTTTTGTATATCTTTCACTGTGACAAGTCGGGAAGGGTTTTATGAGTAACGGACTATATTAAACGTTGATTTTAGTGTGTTAAAGCTTCTTTGTGAGCGAATACAGTCGGCATTTGTCAAGGTGTGCCGTGTTTGATACTTTTTCAAGTTCGGACTAGACACTAAGTGCGGACTATGCACGGAATGCGGATCATGAACCGTGTGTGGACTATCCATGCAAATGCTTTTATTTTCGACCCGAAATTTGCCCCTGCGGACTGTGCATCGGGTGCGGAGTAAAGCCCGGAAAATACGGCATTTCACTGACAGCTGCCCACAGCAGTTTAGGGTTATGAATAATTAGGGAAAATGCTTTTTTATATATAATAAACAGGTTTTTTTTTTTTTTAAGATTTATATTTAATTTGTTCCGATATACATATATTTTTTTTTAATTCGACGAGATGAGCCTGCATGATAACTTGTTTCTGAGAATGGGAAAAACAGCCAGTTTTCTCGTTCAATGCGTTTAAATAATGCTGGTGTAATCTATTCTTTTTTTTTCCTTTCTGCGCTTTTTAACAAAATCACGTGTAAATGCAATGTTATATTTTTTTAAGTATTGTTTCTAAGGTTGTTTAAAGTTTTTGACAGGCCAGGCTCATTATGCATTTCGTCCCAGTTTGTTTTGGTGAATTGTGGTACAAAACTGAGATATGCTACTAGCATTAATAATAGGGGTCTCATAAACCTTGTCGTTTCCAATCACCTGCTTTTTTATATTGCGAAAAAAGGCAAGAACTGTAATCCAAATAAATTTACTTAAAATAATGCTGTCGTGCGGAGGTGAAAACGTTGTTGATCTAACGACGCGGAAATAGTCAACATTCAGAAACGCTAATTGATGTATGTTTCACAAATATGTCTATGCAGGAGAGTATGTCGGGAGTGTTTTCGTCTGCAATAAGTGATTTATTGCGACTACTAGACAACGTTGCTACATTCCGTTCACCCTTAAAGGGGTTATGACACGCCAGAATTAAAGTGTGAGATAACTAGACTGCTAAGACCCATGGTATGTTCCTATGATCCTGCGAAATTTGTTGAAAAAAGAAAAGCCGTTTACAACTCCCTGTAACGCCGAATTAGAGCACAGCTCTTGAGGAGGAGGACATGTATACCTTCTTTTCTCCTCCTCACCTCGTCATCCTGCGTGACCCCCCTGAGGTCACGTGACCTCGAGGGGGTGACGTGACCTCAGGGGGGTCACGTAACCGTTACCTCGGGGGGGGGGGGGGGGTGTCAAGTGACCTCAAGGGGAGGGGGGGGGGGGTTCACGTGACCTCACGGTTACGCCGACGCCGCTCAAGCCAGAAACGGGCGCCTAAGAGCTCCGCTCTAAGATGGCGCGATAGTTTTGTGAATAAATCGATTTGTATGAGGGTCCCTCGGAGTGGCCCCATTCGAAAAGGCCGAATTCGAGGCTGGAGGCCGGTGACGTCATCAGTTAACCGCGCTGCGTCCCCTTGCACGTACGCACAGACTCTGCTCTCTTTGCTCTCTTGGCGTCACGAGCTTCAGTTTCCTCGTTTACCTTCCATGTGTCGAGTATGCGGTCCGTGACGATTACGTCTACGGCATCGCTCGTCTTGAGCTCGACATTGGTCGCAGTAGCGATGAGAGTGATTGTTATCAAGAGATGTTGGAAGCTGTTCATTTTGACTGTGAACCGCTGGCGACCAGCTCAAGAAACGGCGAGTTACGGACGAACTCGCCGGGGTCACCATTGTGCAGGATCTCGCAGACGCATGCAGGGTGGAAGGTCAACGGGCCGGGGGCGAGAGCGAGAATAACGTTCGGGTTTCTGAGTTGCTTGAGCGGTTTTGGCCGTACCGCGTTGAGACGAGCTTGGGCGATCATCGGGGCACCTAGAATGAGAGAGCGTTCATGATCACGTGGTTTGTCGACACCATGGTGTGACTAACTTGGGCGGTGTTGCCTAGTCTCGAGATAAAAATTATCAAAATTCATAGATTGATTATTGCAAGTACCAGGGCTCTATTAATCGCGTATCTTGGTGTATAAACTAAGTAGCCTATTAGCATTCCATTTAAAAAATAATCTGTTCGTTTAAGTTTCGTGTCATAACCCCTTTAAGCTGAGACTACAGCCAAAGCTACAAGGGCGAGCTAGGCCGCGCATCTGGCTTTGAGGCGTGCATTCCGCGGGTGCTCGCTCTCCGGAAGAACCCATCAAAGCAGCGACTGCGAGCTGTCGTGCTTATGGCATTGGCTGCACTCTCAACTTAAGAGTGAACGGAGTATACCAGAAAGTGCCTTCAGGCATGGATTGTCCCGAGCCTACATCGAATGATTTAGCAGTGCTCGTGTACACTGTATAAGCGGCGTTCAAATACTGTCACCGCTGGGACCAGAAATCTTGATGACCAAACTCCGGTGACCGCATTGCTGACAACGCCACCAATGCGATCCCCGCAACTTCGTCACCAATGAATAAACTTTATTGCATGTATGGGTTCTAGTACACCCAGTTGGAGCCCCTAGTCCCAATTTAAGAATGCGAAAGAGTTAGACAAAGAGGACGGACGTTTTCGAATTTTTGAATCTATTACCAACGCGCTCAGTCCAGGTTTAGTCACCAAGTTTTGTGGAGACTGAAAGAAAACGTCAGCTTCTATTCTTGAAATTACACGACACGGCGACAGAAAAACTTTTTTTTTTCTTTTTTACATCAGAGCTGTTAAGGGCTAGTTTCCCTAGGATCGGGTCCTCCGAAAAGAAATGAAAACACCGAACTCTGGACACCTACCGCCATCTATGAGCGACGACGGCAAGCCACATATCTGGTTGCCACCGTCGCTCATAGATGGCGACAGCCTCTCCACTCTGGCTTCCCGACTTGCGGCCGGCCATTACTTTCCATTGTACAGCTCCGCTGGTCAATGGAAACTTTCCATTGTACAGCTCCGCTGGTCATTCTTCGCCTGAGTAGAAAGTCTGAAAGTTTTTTGTTTTTTTTTGGTGGCGTTGCGTGTGAGTACACTTGGGTCCTTCTAGTGCCAGTAAGCTTGCGTAAAGGGAGAAACACTCGTACCCGATGTCGTTTACACGCATGTAAAGAAACTCCAGAAACTCCCTTGCCTTATTGTTGTTTCTTTTGTTTGTTTGTTTTTCTTAGGCATTTCCGATGATGAACGAATGCACTGATGAGTTTCTGGAGATACTGGACAAGACCGTAGGGGACCGCAAAGGGGTAGATATCAGCATACGCTTCTGCAGGCTTTCTACGGAGATCCTCTTGCGTTTCACGATGGGGACTGGGCTAGGTTTTCAGGCGGCTTCCGAACAATCCGAGCGCCTTCTGCATGGTGTCCGGGCCGCTATTAGACGGCCTGCCTTCAACTGGATTCTGTATTCGAGTGAGTACTTTATTATAAAGTTACAGAATAGTGACGCTCTGGTGGATTTCTCAAAAACAACACTCACCAAACTTACCCGGAACACGCGAACGGCGTCTGCTCACATAGGAACGCTATCCTGGTGGCAGCTGAAGGACTACTCTGTCTCTTAGCGTCGCAAAAGAAATGCCCTAGCAGGGAAGGCCGCTCACTGAACCGAGGACTATACAGTAAATGTGCCGGCTGGTCCATTTATACTTATCGCCTTCTTTTCGCACAAGGATGCGTGGGTGACTACCGAAACCGTCAGTAATTGGATGATTCAATCGGTAAGCATTTGACGTTTCTACTGAATGGGGCGAGAGGCGTAGATCGCCTCGCAGGCCAAATGTTTGAGCCATCCCCGGTGCATCAACGATTTTAACATTGAGCCAGTGGCCTTTCCTGCTCGGACTATTTTATTGAGCGCTATGCCGGGAAGCAGTCCTTCGGCTGACGCCACAATTCGCGACTCCAACTACAGGTGGCGCCACTCGTTTTCCAAAATGCCGGTTATAGTCACTGATGACGTCATCGACCCTGATGACGTCATCGGCATCCGCATCTGCATCGTCACTGATTGACGTCATCAGCATCCGCATCGTCATCGTCACTGATGACGTCACTGGTGACGACGACTCATCAGTAACGTCACTGATGACGTAATCGTCACGTGACCCCATAGGGGTCACGTGACCCCGTGAGGTCACGTGACCCTCGTGAGGCGACGGCGACGCCGCTCGGAGGGAGGAGTAGCAGACAGGATGAGGAGGTGAGGAGGAGGGAGGAAGGATATACCTTCCCCTCGGTACCCTTCCCCTCCTTTTCCTCAAGGGCTGCGCTCTAATTCGGCGTTACAGGGAGTTGTAAACGGCTTTCATTTTTTTCCTCACTCTCCCAAAATTTTTACGGCAATACGCACTGCTTCGTGAGGAGCATATGGTTATGTGAAGCGGCACTTCTTGTATTCGTAAAAACAAGTGTCTCGGCACTCTACTACTCCATCTCAGAAACATATAAAGTGAAGACAAAGGCATGGGCATGAGCGCGAGGCTTTAGGAAGTGCTCTTAAGTTCGAGTCCTCTTACAAAAAAAAAGCATGCTGCTCAGCTAGGCACACGCGCGTGTGCTTTTGTCTTCACTGCAGAAGTTTGTGAGGTGAAGTAAGGAAGCACAGCCTGTAACACCACTGCTAGTTTTGTGTAGACACGATGAACTACTAGCGGGAATTTGCCTGGTTGGTATCCCATATCAATCCCATCGTACTGTTCCTCTTCATTTCACAGACGCCATTCCGTTATGGCTCTGGATCAAAAAATTGTTCTTCATTGTGCAAGGATACCTAATCGTGAGAAATACCAGCATCCATCATAGACACATCGCAGGGCTGGTGCGCCTACGTAAAGAGAAAAAACAGGTAAGTCTTCGCAAAAAAAAAATCTGCCTTTTCACTTTGGTGAAGAAGGAAGAGCAGCGGAGCTGTAGCTTCTGTTCTCAGCGGTGGCTTTCCAAACGAGCGAACTGCTCTTCTTTCGCAAGGGAATCTGAAGCCGTCGACGCAGTGGAACTTGAGGCGATAGCGTCCTCGCGACGGCTGCGGAACCATTCGCGCTGATCTCAATGTCAATCGCTGGATCGCGCTTCCCAACTTGTTCGCTGCAGCGCGAGTGAACCCACCGGACGGCCATCCTGCTCGTTGACGATTCGCGGTTTTGCTAACGTTTTGTTGCGGTTTTCCAGCGTGCTATAGACAGGTTTTCTAGTCGTTCGTCGTCATTCGCCGAAGAAGTTTTTTTAGGACTGTGTGTAACCGTTGAGACTTGCCGTTGTGAACACGTGGAACATTTTACGAAAGCGCAGTGCCGCAGGAAAAAAGGCAAAACTCGCCGAAAGCAAGTGTCACCGGTCTCGCGGCCTGATCGAAGCTTCCTTGGCACGCCTTCGCAAGCTTTAAAGGGATACTGAAGCGAAACTTGAAATACACCTATTATGGTCAGAAATAGGTTCAATATGATCAATGATATTCATAAATCATAATCGCGTGTTTGTATTTTGAACGGATGGCTATATTTTTCACTTTAATGGGCCCGATTGGGCGCGCGCTCAAAAATCGGCCATCGGAGAGCGCGATGCGTCTTGGGATATTGGGCGCATTCGTGACGTCACTTGTGCCAGTCGGGAAAGGCTACGGCGTGAATGTTGTGGTTACGAGCGTTGCCACTTGGTGGCGCGTCGACGATTTACGACCTGTGACAACGTGGCCGTTTGAGATGTGCAAGGGCTGCACGCATGCTGCACCACGGCAAGTCGGCAACCACGGTAGCACTGACAAAACCAGCTCTGAGGCCGGATTCTCAAAGCGAATTCACGACGAAAAAAGTGCGTACGACAAATTTGAGACAAAACCCGTACTCTCGAAACGAAATTGTCGTAACCTTTGCGCAGGTTACGACAGAATCCTACGACAGCTCCGAAGCTGTCTTACGCACTTTTTACGATCAAATCAACAAGGCCGACAGCGCTCAGTTACTTGGTATCGGCCACCGACGGACATTTATTTTTTTCGTGCTCTTCTCGTGCGTCCCGACTTCAACCAGCAAGAAAAAAGGAAGGAGTACTTAAAACAGACCACGACGATCAAGAACGCAGGATCTACAAACACACGAGAAGAGCTACAACGGCCACGATTCTGCCGACCGAGCGAGCTCGGCAGAATATGGTAGGCCTAGCAGCAACATCGACTCGGCGCACCGTTGCTCCGGCGGTCCTTGGCCAAGACCGTCTGTCCATGACCGGCTGGCCTGCTGAATGGAATATGCCCGCGCGACCCTTGTGGACCCTTCCCGGATGAGTAGTTTGATCCCTGAACTAAATTTCAGAGGTCAATATTTTCCCCTTGTCATCTCGATCTCCTTGTTTTCCGAGACAGCGGTGACGAACGCTGTCGTCGAAAAGGGACTCTCATTGATTCTATCTCCTTGTTTTGTGTGATATAGAGCTCAAATAAACGCCATACGGATTACCTTCGCAACTCGGTATGTACACTCTGTTATTAGTATGCCATTTTTATTCTGACTCGACGCTACGTCAGTTCGTGGGAGCTACGCGATGTCGGTCTAACCTTTCTTTGCCGAGTGTCATGTCAGTATCGAGTTGCAATCGTAAAAGATCGGTCCAGAAGCGCTTACCGAAACGCGGTCTAACAGAGCGAATCCAGCACTTCGATCAAACGCGCGTGTCCGCTCCGAGTGTGAACAGGTATTTGGCATTTGCGTGGCTCTTGCTGACACCCTCGTAGTTCAAACATATCCTTTTTAACGTCGGCTTGCAGCTCGCGACTCGCAGCAACTAATACCGGCCGTGCCAGAAGCATGCTCGGGCCGTGTCATGCAAAGAGCCGCAACGAGAACGAGCTCACTGTGGCCAACTACGCTTTGGCTTTCTCCGCCAAGGCTTTGCAAACGCGTTCAGGCCTAGGCGAATTCTGCCGGCACGCCGTATTGCCGCAGAACGGCGCTGCTATTTTGGCACAAATGATGTCACGAGAACTTCCCCCCATCCACCAGATGAGAATTTGAAATCGTTTAATTATGTTTAAAATTAGTTCTCCTGTGTTTTACAGCGCAATATTTATATTTCCGAGGTGGTGCCTGTCTCTAGCCCATATTTATTCAACAAGATCGGCGCTAAAATTTCGTTTCACTACCCCTTTAATACCGATCAAGATTCGTTTCGGCGCCGCGTGGATGTGTTTTGCGAGTGCAATGTGCGTGAAGCCGTATGTACCTCTGGGCAGTGTTTAATTTTCAATCTGACTGTATTTGTAACTTGCGGCACTTGCGGTCCGGAAAGGAGCTTGATCCCGTGTCCACTGGCGAGGAAAGAGGGGGGAAAGAACGGCATCAGTGGCGCGTTTTTTGTTTGTTTGTTTGTTTGATTGCTATAGACGCTTATGGCAATCAAATTATTGTATTGTGATTCTTGTCAATGCCCCCCCCCCCCTTGTAATACCCCTCGTGGGTCTTAAGGGGAACTAATAAATGAATGAATAAATGAAATCTGTAGTACGAAATCTTTATTTATTGTTGTGGCCTTTTCCTGCTGCACTGCGCTTTCGTAAAAATTTCCAGGTATTCTCAACGGCAAGTCTCAACCCTTACATAGTGTCTTCAAAACCTTTTTTGACAAATGACGACGAACGAGTAGAAAACGTGCCTTCAGCACGCTGCCGCCGGCCTCTGTAACGCTAGCAAAACCGCAAATCCTCTACGAACATGATGGCCGTCCGGTGGCTTCACTCGCCCGAGCGGGAAGCGCGATCCAGCAATTAACATTGAGATCATCATCAATCACTGATCAGTGGGCAAGGAGGTCATAAGTACTAGTTGGGGGCACGTTGCAATATTGGTGAAGCCTAGTCATAAAAAGTTGAAACGATATTGTGCCCAAAGTGACAGCAGATTTCTCTGGCGATTGTTGCGCGTGACATGTCACGTGCGAGATAGATGGCTGATTGTAGAAGGATTCCTTGCAGGCTTGCGCGCGCTCCGTCCGGTAGGTTTTATCAGATCGAAGGCTAGACGAAGGCTAGCTACGGTCACGTGATGTGTTCATGTTGGGCTGATAAGTGAGGAGGGAAAGGAGGAAAATGACAGAGGCGAGGCGTCAAGGGAGCATTGCTAGTGGAGGCTACGCGGCTGACGTCATGCCCTCTTCTACACTTCTATCCTCCTTGTCAGTTTGCCCAGCTCCGTCGGATGGATGGATAGATAGATGGATATCGATCGTACTTTTTATAACGGGCGGTAGCTAGCGCCATCTAGCCGCGGCGGGCCGTCGCGGTTCGTTTTCAACGCGCTGCACCCGTCGGCGTCGCGCGTTGTAGCGTCGACAAGTGCACGCACAGGGCCCCTCTCGCGTCGGCCGAGGCTGGCCGCGAATGGGAGTCTTCCCTCCATACCAGACTTGTAATTAACTTAAATAGTCTACTCAAGTTACTTCATCTCAAATACTTTTGTGAGTAAATTGGTATCTTGCAAATACTTTCGAACGTCAGTATTTAGTGCTCTAACTTAAATACTTTTTTCAACTAACTTGTACTCATTTTAAAGTTACTTTTAAGTTACTTTCTATTTTTTTTATTTTCTTTAGAGGCGGGAAGCTTGAAAATATTGAACTCCAGTTATTTTGGCTAGGCGCCCTGCCATTGCAGATACATTTCGTGCCAGGTAATGAAGTGCACTTCCCTGCTTCTGCTAAAAGAGGTGACACGGAGAAGCAGGTGTCGTAGCCTTAAGCCTAGCGGACACGTGTTGTGTCTTCTAACTGGGCAAAACGTCAAAGCACATTTTCTTATAATTTGTGCGTGGCCAAGCCCAAGAGCGACAGAGATTCCGAAGCAGTAGGGCATGCGGGTGAAAGTATAAGATGTGTACAAGGCTACAAGCGAGAAGGAGGGCACTTCTGTCGGAGAGAGGGTGGGTTCTACAAGTGTCTGGTAAGAGTCGACAGTAAACCGTAGTTTTTGTTTCCGTGTTATGGAGTGAAAGCATATAAAAGAAAGCCTTCTAGCTTCACAAATGCCTTTGAATTCGCACGCAGTCGCACACACCACTGGTTCAGTTCACTAGGCTCTCTTCGCACACAAGACTCGTAAGACGCGAGTGACTACACGGCTCCAATGCGGCGGCGAATCGCTCGTGGCGTACGCAGCATTGTTTTCGGTAGGACGAATGACTGCCGGCGCCCACCAGGGCAGTGTTATCAGATGGCCAAACCGGAAAGTCCCCACGTCTGCGCCAAAAAGTCCCTGTTTGACTCTACCCGGGTGTGCAAATTTCCCTACGGTTGTCCCCACTGGAAAAAATAGTTGTATTTTATTTATTTTGCTTATTTGAGTGAGCCTGCATTCTGTACCTCTCCATGAGCGCGTTACAACTCATTAATTAGCTATTTCTTGTTTTGTAAACACGAGATTGAATATGTAAAAGGAAAAATAAAGTTAATCCAAGTATTTAGTATAACAAATTAAGAACTTTTGTGTTTATTGCATAACATACAACAGTCACTAAAACTTGAACAGCATTTTTTAGAACACCCTGGTTATTAGGACCTTACGTTAACAAACATTTGCAACAATCGCCTGCGCGCTGCCATTTTTGTCTGCTGTGCTGTGGAGCGCTTTCTGAGCACGCGCCTTTGCTCGGCTGTGCGGTATCTAAGGCTCTGCGCATGCGTCCAGAGCTCAGTGACTCTGCATTTTTCATCCTGGTGATAATTGATGGAAAGGTGTATAGACCAATTTTTTTCAGGGACGGTCCCCTTCACAATTGGTAAGGTTGGCGCAAGCTGGTGGCACAGGTATTCCCCAAGCTGACCTCAATCGCACATCACACGAGGCAGATACAATCAAGACGATAGGCTCGAACCAAGACGATAATCAAGACGATAGGTGACCTCGCGAGCCGAGCGCCGCGCCTGCCTCCAATGAACGCTTCCGCTGAGGCAAACATTTGGATTACAGTAACTCGAGGGAGCGTAGCAAGCGCAACTCGATGCTCCGGGGTCAGGGCCCCCGTTCGGGCTCAAGTGCACCTGCACTCAGCACCCCCCCCCCCCCCCCCCCCCAAAAAAAAAAAAGAAAAAAAAAAACAGCATTGAGCGACGTTGTTAGAGCGAATGTTGCGAGCGTAGCAGCCTTTCGAGTTTTCCATTGTGACTTTGGTTGTGCCTGCACTCTAAGAAAAAATGGAGGAAAAAAGTAGCAACGGCGCGCCTTCCTCCCTTCTACCGACGCGCCCCCAAGCGGACACGAGAAAAGGGGAGGAACGAAATGTTTTTCTCCTTCTCCAGGCAGACGGGAGAAAGCTTTCGCCCTCCCGACTCATCGTCTTTCGGTTTCGTTTTTCGAGCAGGTCGCGCGCGTTGCTTAATAAATAGCTGTTCAGTTGATTGAGCTTCAGCGGCAGCGAAGGCCGCCTGTAATTCTATCTTCTAGTCTAAACGTCCAGAACATTTCGGTTGCATTGACGTTTTTATCACTAATTTTATCAAACGAGTAAACGAAGCCGCTAGAAACAGCGAAGTTCGGAGCAGTGCCAGCAGCGCCACGTACACTGGGGGATGGCCGTCTCCGGATTGCGTGACTCGCGCGGCACGGAACGACGGAACTACAGCCACTGCAGGTTGCAGCACTACAGACTACAGTAGCGAAAGCACGCGGAACTGTGTCGACGTTTTCGACGTTATGGAAACTGCAGGAACTGCGTCCAAGACAGGCAGGCTTTGCTGCCGGCTGCCTGGGTGCCTTCCCCCCTGAGTTCGGTTCTGTTTTCCGATGCCGAGTGCAACCGGCGTTCAACGTGGTTTTGTGTTTGTGCGTGTCAGCTACATAGCTGCAACATCGTGAGGACAGTGTTGGGTTGTGAACAGAAGACTGGAATTATCGCCGATGTGACCATGTGTTCGCGTATCAGTGGTGTAACAAGAAGATGAGATCGTAAACTGTTGGGCATTAATGCCGCTGGTCGGGTTGTGATCGGAGGGGGCGGGGTGTCGCAGGTTGACATTCCGCTTTACATTAAAAAGTTTAATACCACTTGAGGGATTACGTGCAATCGATCAACGTGCGGATAGTCGTGTTGGAACGCTGGTCTGAACAGTAGAAGATCCTACCGTACAGTGGCCAATGAGACTGTCGGAATTGTCTCGTCCCCGACAGCGATTGCGCTCAGGGGCAAGGACTGAACAGTACGAAAGCGTGACGTAAAGTGCGTATATTTACAGTATGGAATTTCGGCATTAAAAACAATAGTAGGTAAAATCGAAAAAAAAGCTACCCTTTATTTTGCTGTTTAATTATACTACGGTTACTGGAGAAACTGCCCTCCGTGGCGCGCTGGGATGAGCGCTAGAAGTTTTCGGGCTCGCCACGGCGTAGTTCCGTACACTTAACACCTGCCGCAAGTCGCGGCTTTGACTGCATTCAAGTTGATCGAAAAGCAATTTCTCAGTTTGTGAAGCATCACTTCCAGCTGACTGAATATCCACTCTACAGAGATTAATTCAAACGGCAATTGCAGCTTCGCGCGAACAGCACAAATAGAAAAACAAATAGAAATACAAGCCACGACTTGCCGTGTGGGGAAACAAACTCATGACTTCGAACCGCATTGGAGCGGCTTGATTTATTGGCTTTCAAATAATTACGGCATGATTGAGCGTTTACTTTTTAATAAGAGATTCAACCCCTGAGCCATCCAAAATACTCTCAGAGGTGTGACATTGCAGGGAAAAAATCAACATGCTGGGAATATTTTTTATTGCTTAGGGAGTCACCGAAAAGTTCCGCACGTTCAAAACGACCAGTATAAAAGACGGAAACGCAGAGCACGGGTGTAGTGTTCGGGTTAGTGTGGTGTTCCGTTGAATTCATACTTGTGTGTGCAGTGCATGTGCTTAATGTATGTTCACCTGATGCTTGAAATAAGTGTATGGGTGTCATGTGTGTATAGTAGAGGGTCCTGAAGCACAGTAGTGGCCTGAGAGAAGCAAATTATTTTTTGTAGAACATGAATTGGGCGGTACCTAGCGCCACCTAGCCTAGCTACTTGCAATTACTCTGCTTGACCCCGCCATCTGGTGGCTAGCGATTTAACCTTCTATCACGCTACGCGATAAACAGCGGCTTCGAGTTCGTTCTTTCGAGAGCGACTTCTGGTTTCGCGGAGTGAGTTTGCCCTTCTCCGTGATGTGCGGTTGACGAAGGAATTGTGACTCGAGAAACACCAAAGGTAAGACGCAAAGTGCGCGAAGTAACTACGTATCGGTTGTCTCCGTTTAACATCGCAGTGCTGTCGACGAGAAGACTGAGTAACTGCTTTCGAAACGCAGGTGTCTGTACCTGTGGGGGGAGTCTGGCTTCGGAAATAAACACAGTTTGCGGAAAGCTGGTGTTACGCTTTTATTTGCTGCTGCTCTCGTCCCGTACAAGAGACGTAGCGTCCTCGTTAAGCCTTATTGGGCTCGATTTTCTCGATTCGGGGCCGCCATATTGAGATGCAAGCGACGGTGGAACTTTGCTCCCCTGCTTCAGGGACGAAGGTTTCTCCCTTTCTAAAGGAACATAGGTTACAAGACCGTTCCTCCCGTAAGGGAGGACTATCCGTACCCTTTTTTCTAAGAGTGTGGCAATGAATTGCTGAAAAAATTGTAACTTGAAAGTATCTTGAATT